TGTTTTTGTACTTAGAAAAATTCTTAAATAAACAGTTAAATTATATTTGAGTATTTTTTATTTGAAGTATTATCTTAAAAAAAAACTTAACCATCAATACGATTGGACGACGGCACGCAACAGTGTCCAAGTTTTGTCGGTGTATTATCTTGATTGAATTTATCAATTATTTCACAGGGTTCTATAATTATTAAAAAAATATACATAAATTAAAAATATTTTGCAGTGTATCTTGATGATTTGACAAATGCAAAAGCCTTTTAAAGCTATTTATTCTAAATAATAATTATTACTTCCTGTGTTACAATTAAGTTTTTATTAAAAAAAACTGCATTGATTGCCTCACGATGTTAAATTTATCAAATTTTCAAGGAACACTTATACATTATAATAAATTAGTATAAAATATTATTAGTAACATTTTGACATAGTAGATGGTTCTTTATCTTCTATTAAACATATTTCAGTCAAATTAACAATCTGTTGTAAGTCTATTCATAATGTATAAATACTTGTATATATTAATTAGATTTGTAATATTTGGTAAACAATTATATGAAATAAAATTATACCTTTTGGCACATTTTCTTTAAATAATGGATTCTTGGCTGAAATTTTCATAAGTTCAAATAATTTAGTACTAAGTAGATGATCATGATTGAAATATAGTGTATCTAAGATAATAAAAATATTCATGATGTTAAATACTATAAATGAGTTACGTAACAAAAAAAATGCATGTCCTTCAAAGGATGTAGATGGAGTCTTGTGACATAGATGTCCTTCTTCAAAAATTGTTGGTATTGCATTTGATTTTAATAATCTTCTTTTAACACCTTTACCAAAATCAGTTTCAGCAAAATGAAATGAACATAATTTTTGGTTTGACTGAACATCACATTCATTCAATCCTCATTTGCGAAGAAGCCAGATTTCAAGACGTTTTGGATCTTTAGGAAATCTAATTAAAATGTATTTAATTATATCATATTAGTGATAAAAAACTTTTTAAAAATAAAAAAAAAACTAGACTTACCCAAAAAGAGATAATCTTGGTTTATATATATATATATATATATAATATAATAATTGTTATTATATAGGAAATACATAATATTATAATTTTTAGAATAATTGTTTTATTTTAGAATATATAAATTACCTCCATGTATCAAACATTTTGTAAACCTGTCGTTTTGTACTATCCTGTCATTCTGTTCTTCATTATTAACTCTTAAAAAGATATAAGCTTCTGCATTGTGCACTTTATGGGAATGCATAAAATCAATCGTTAAAAAATAAAATAATACAATTTTATTTAAGTGAAGACATTATTAGTGCAATATGAAAAAAAAAAAAAAAATCAAAATAGAATACTTTTGTGTGATGTGTTTCAAATTGTATCTTAAAAAATGAACCTAACCTAATGATTTAACATTAACATACATAAGAAATAAGAATTTACTTGTATTTCAGTATTTAATCCTTCGCGCAAATATTAATCTCTTCTTATGGTAAGAATTGTATTTTTTTTTTTTATAACTATTTTTATAAAAGCATTGCAGTTTTTATTTCTATTATTATTTTTGTCTTTAAAAGGATTCTTAATTTTATTTTTTGAAGAATGCTGTCACACATAGTCTTTTCTATACAGGGTCGGCGCAAGAAGTTTGGACGCCCTGGGTGAAATCATATTTTGACACCCTTACCCAGTGGCGTATTTGAGGGGGGGCGATAGGGGCGATCCCCCCCCCCCCGAGATATGTTTGAAAATCCTATTTTATGTTTGTTGAACTTATAACTTATACGTGAAACTAAATATTTTAATAAATAAATGAAAAAAAAAATGTTCTTGAGAAATTTTTGTTATTGATCACGGCCCACGAGTGATAACTGTTAACTGATAATATCAACCGGGTTACTGATTAGTCATTGTAATTAATTTCATTTATTCTGTGGTTTATTGCTCAATGGTAGGTAATCTGATAATAAAAATTATCTGTTGGTATGCCGTACGCGTATAGACGTTTCTATGATGTTACTCGTCGAAATGGTTAGTTTTTACTTGAATGGTCACGATGTGTCATTTGGTCATCGTGATAAACTGATAACTGCGTAATTGTCGGTGAAAAATGACAATTTTGTCTGTTTGACGTTCGACTGTTTCGTACTTTCGTTCACCATACAATCGTTAATTGTACACGTGTAACTAATTTAGCCACTACAAATTGTTGTATAATATCATTTCGTTATCCGTATACTCAGATACTATTTAGTAGTTTGTTAGTAGTTGAGTTGTTTTATACGCACCTTACTGCCTTAGTACGTTGAGCCGTATCAACACACACCCCGTACACGCTATTTTTTATACGCGCCATTGTGCTGTTATCATTGTTCGTCGTGTATCGTATTATTTTGTACTCGTGCGAAATTCATCAGTCGTAATTGCTGTGGCAGGTTATAATCTTGCCTTTTGACTATTACTTATGTAATGTTTTTATTGTTTATTTTACACTTTTAAATGAGCCATATATTATATTGTGGAGTGTACACTTTATAAATATGTCCAATTTATTGAGTCAGTGGCTAAAACGCAAAGAAGTTAACAACGATCATGACAATAACTAAAAAAAATGAAAAATGACAATATGAAAAATATAACAGCACAGACATCTGTAAGTTCACCAACGTTGAATACACCAGTAACTAGTCTTTCTTCTGTTAATACTACACATAATTTAGATATAGCAAATTTTTTAAAAGAATCTATCATTAGTATAACTGATCATGATCGTGCTGTATTGATAAGAACGAGTAATATACCTAATATTGATTTTGTTTAACCATTTTCTATACATTCCAAAAAAGGTATCTAAGTAAAACTTATTTTGAGAAATATAAATGGTTGACTTATTCTAAAAAAATGTCAGGACTGTTTTGTCAATACTTAGTGATAAAGGTGGTCGATATAAAACTATTGAATTCATTAAATTTGTTTCTAAGCCATTGCAAAAATATGCCAAGCTCCTGGGTAAAGACGGAGATCTAGAAGTTCATAGTAGAAACCATTAACACCTAGTGTCCATAGTAGAAACCACAAATTGTGTTCAAATTGCAGACAATTTTATGATAACTTTTAATAATCCACAAAAGGAAGTGATAAATTTGATAAATACTGAAAGAAACAAGTTGAAGAAAATCGGAATCGTTTGAAGCCTATTGTGGAATCGATCATATTTTTAGGTCGACAAAATACTCCACTTCGTGGCCACCGTGATCATGGTAATTTTTTTGAAAATGATCTTGAAAAAAATTCAACAGTCAATAAAGGTAATTTTCGTGAGCTTCTTCATTACCGAATCAATTCTGGGGATTCAATTCTAGAAACTCATTTGAAAACTACACATTCTAAAGCTACATATATCAGTCCTGTTGTTCAGAATGAACTAATTGATTGTTGTAAAATAATTATAACAGAAATCATTTTAAAAGAAATAAAAGAATCAAAGTTCTATTCCGTTATTTTTGACGAAACTACTGACCTTAGTCATTCATCCCAAATGAGTTTAGTTTTACGTTACATACATAAAGGAGTTGTAAAAGAAAATGTTATTGCATTTATTGATTGTCATGCATATGTTTACAATACAGATACTATTAATGAAAACAACTTGGAACCAAAATTAAATGGTGAAATTTTGGGTGACACAGTAATTTCATTATTATAAAACTTTGATTTAGATCTTAAATACTGTGTGGGTATTGGAACAGATGGTTGTTCAGTAATGGTATCGTTAGTGCAAGGAGTCGTGCAAAAAATTCAATCACATGCAAAAAATTCTATACATTGCCCATGTGCGAGTCATGCATTGAATCTCTCTATATCAAAATCATCGTCCGTCAAAAAGCATTAGAAACAGTGTAGGGATAATGAAAGAAATAATAGAGTTTTTCAATTGTTCATCCAAAAGAAATTTTGTCTTGAAAACCGTCCTGGACGGCCAGCCTCGTTTACAAAGCTTATGTAAAACCCGCTGGATAGAACGCCATGACAGAGTAATGCTATTTAAAAAATCTATACCCTAGACGATTGATGCTTTAACAAAAATTTTTGAATGGAATGAACTTATTTCTTCATCTAAAGCTAAAAGTTTATTAACAGCCTTGTGCAGTTGCGAATTTATAATCGCAATTCAATGTTTATCAAATATTTTATGTGTGACAGCTCCAATTATAGTACGCGAGGCGAAAAGTGAGCCGCGATCGATGCGCGCCAAGCGGTCATTTTACATGGAGTCAGGGGTTCTACTTTTGTGAAAGTAATGGAAACAGCTGGCGCGCGTTTTAAAAACGGCAGGTGGTAATTTATATATTTTGTATAGTGCTAATCATCGTATTTTGGAAACCAATTTCTTCTTTTCATACAGCTGCAGCTGTTGCATTGCACAATATATTGTTAACGTTACATAGGTTAGTCATTCGTGATACGAGTTTAGTGTTTATACGTGTTATTAACCACTTAATACCTTCGTTTGTAATCATATTTCCCGCGTTCGCATATCGTTGGTTTTTAAAGTGCGCGCTTTTTAAGTTTGAATTTTTGTCGTATTTTTATTATTTCTTTAATAATTACCTGTATATAAAATTATTTTTAAAATGGCATACCAAGACACACATTCTCAAACGAAGAAAGTAATTTTTCATGTTTATAATTATTTCAAAACGTTGGCTGGTGACAAAGGTAAGCCAGAACTTAGTAATTTCTTTCGTCAAACTCGCGAAATGACTGCCGAAGCGTGTGGCGTAAGTCTTGCTTGTGTTAAACGAGTTTGCGCTGAAGGGAAAAAATCATCTGTGGGTAAAAATCGACAAGATGCCGAACCTTCTTTATTTAAGTCTCCATGAAAAAGTTATAAACGTGCCAAACCTATTATAACCCGATTGAATTAATCTGGGCGCAAGTTAAGGGTAAAGTCGCGGAAAAAAATAACACCTTCAAAATGTCAGATGTAGAAATATTAGTAAATAGTGCTTTAAATGCAGTAACAACAGAAGATTGGGCAAAATGTGGCGAACACTGCAACGAAATTCAAGAAGACGATTTGATTAAGGAAGGTTTAAGAGTCGAAATTTTGGAGCCTTTATTATCACAATTAATCCTGACGATAGTTCTACTGATGAAGACGATGATGAAGATGATTAAAAAATTGTATTTTATGTATTATTTGTATTAAATATATTATTTATATTTTATTATATAAAAAAGTCTACATTACGTCGTTTGAAATTATTTTAGGCGGGAAAACAGTTGGAGTAGCCCTGATGAAAAACGGCCACTTGGCGCGCATCGATCGCGGCTCACTTTTCGCCTCGCGTACTATAGTCGTGTTCTTCAAGGTATAAATAACGATGTTTTATGTACTAAAAACTGCATTGAAGATGTTATTACAAATTTAGAAAATAAACGCAATAATTGCCAATCAACATTTAAAGAGATATATAAAGAATGTGAAGAGTTAATGATTGAAATGGACATCGAAGTTAAATTGCCAAGATTATCAAAAAAACAAACCAACCGTGCTAATCATCCGTCAAAAACAACAGAAGAATATTATAGAGTTTCTGTTTATATACCATTGATCGATAGCATTATTGAAGATTTAAAATCACGTTTCTTGAGTAAAGAAAATAAGTTATTATTGAATTTATGTCTGTTAATTCCACGATACATTGTTGATACTACTGATGAAGATTTGAAAAAATTAATTAAAGCTGCCATAAAATTATATAATTTTAATGAAATAGAACTCACTGATAAATTGGAACTACAGACAGAATTGGAACTATGGAAAACAAAATGGCAGGGTGTAAAAAATGAAGGTAATATTAATATTAATTTTTAAATAGATATTGTATAATCTATAATTTGTTGAACATTTTTTTTTCAGGTCATAAAGTTTATCAAGATGCTTTGTTATCAATTGATAGTTGCAATGCTATTATTTTCCCTAATGTGCACAATTTATTACAGATTATCGCTTCTCTGCCTATTAGTGTAGCTTCTGCCGAACGCAGCTTCTCTACACTTAGAAGGTTTGAATGCATGTGTTAAGTAAAAAGTACTAATGTTTAGATATTTGATATAAAATACCTTACTAACAACCTTAAAACAAATGTCTTCATAATTCGGAATGTGGAAAATGCTTAATTACTCTTAATTTAGATTTTAGTTTAATAGTTACATTATCTCTTTATTATTTTTGTTTACTACTCCCCTCGACTCCTCACATCCACTTTTTGGCTTTTCCACTTTCTTATTATTTATTTCCTTGTATTAGTCATATCTGCTATATTTATTATTTTGTCAATAGGTTAAAAACTTGGCTGAGATCGAAAATGGGCCAGGATAGGCTTACAGGCTTGGCATTATTAAACATACATAGAGCTATTGAAGTAAATGTTGACGATGTAATTGATAGATTTACAAGTATTAAAAAGAGAAATATGGATTTTGTTTTGTAAATTAAAATGTGCTTTGTTTTTTTAAAGTCCAAAAAAATGTTTGGGATGGGTGGGGAAAGTTGATAATATTATCGCCCCCTCCTCCCGAGATGAAGTCTTAAATACGCCACTGGTGGATCCGGCATTAGATAAAAAAAAAAAAAAACACAAATATTAACCCTTTCCAGCCCATTGAGTCCATTTGGATACGTATTGTATTCTTAAATGTTATTCCAATACAAATAGTCTGAAGACTCCAAATGGACCCATTAAATACAAACAATTTTATGTTCTAACAAATGGTATCACTGTTTTTAACATATGATTAATATTACTTGTGTTTTTATCGTGTTTATTATGATAAGAACAAAATTACTTTTTTCGAAAAATTTGATAACTTCCGAAAATCATATTAAATTAAGCTTTTACTATTTTTTAGATTTATAAATTTTATTTGATCGCTAAACAAGTAAGAATTCTCTACGAATACTTCGTTTTATTTTTATTTTACGTATTGACCTTAAATTTTCAGTTAATTTGAGTGTATCCATTTGGACCCATCATTGAAAAAAAAATGAATAATTTAGGCGATGACCAAATTATTGTTTTGTTGGAAGGAGATATTTCTGATCTTGATATTGAATTCTCAGATAATGAAAATGATATTCAAGTAAATAATTTAGATTATCCCTCAGTTTATTGGAACGTTGATTTTAATGCTAGCTTAGGTGACAATTTTGAAAATAATAATGAGTTAGAACGTAATGAAAATCAATTATATTTTGAACAAATTTTACCACAAGAACAGTCATATTTTTCTAGTGATGATGATTCTGAACTTCCTTCATCTATTCGTTATAATAAATATCGAAAATCATTACCTAAATGGATTAAAAAAGACACTGACTTTGTTAACACTGATTTTGACAATTGTTTTACGCGTAACGATGACGATTTAACTCCTTATAATTATTTTAAAAAATTTATTGATTCAAATTTACTAGAAGAAATTGTATATCATACTAATTTATATTCTACCCAAAAAACAAGTTCTTCAATTAATACAACAGTATTAGAAATGGAAACTTTTATTGGTATTCATATATATTCTGGTATAGTAAAAATGCCCAGCTATCGTATGTATTAGTCAGATTGTACAAGGTTTGATATAATTGCTAATGCTATGTCGAGTAATCGTTTTGAAAAATTACGAAATAATTTTCACCTAAACGATAATCAAAATTTATGTCCACGTAATCATATAAATTATGATAAGTTGCTTAAAATAAGACCTTTTATCGAGGCATTTCGTAAAAATTGTTTATTGACAGAACCCGAAGAATATAATTAAATTGATGAATTTATTATTCCATTCAAATGTCGTAGTAATTTAAAACAGTATAATAAAAATAAGCCCCACAAATGGGGATTTAAAGGTTTTGCACGTTGTGGTGGTAGTGGTATTTTGTATGATTTTCAAATTTATACTGGAAAAAATACAACAACTAAGTCAGAACTCGGTATAAGTGGTGACATCGTAAAAACTCTTGTTGAACATGTACCAAAACACAACAATTATAAAGTTATATTTGATAATTGGTTTAGTTCCTATAAATTAGTTCGTGAACTAAAAGACAATGGTATACACACGTTAGGTACAATTAGATCGAATCGTGTATCTGGTTGTAATTTAAAAAATGATAAAATAATGAAAAATAAAGGTAGAGGCTCCCATGACTACCTTACCGACGCGAATTCAAATATTATATTTCTAAAATGGTTTGATAACAAACCTGTGCATTTGATTTCGTCATATGTGGGCGTTGAACCAATGGATATGGTAAAAAGATGGTCAGTAAAGGACAAGAAACATATTCAAGTCGACCTCCAGCCATTGTGAAAGAATATAACGAGCACATGGGAGGCATAGACTTAATGGATATGTTAGTTGAGTTATACAGAATTGATTTAAAAGCTAAACGATATTATTTAAGAATAATATTTCATTTAATAGATATAGCTGTTGTAAATAGTTGGTAATAAATAGAAGACACTGCTCTACAAAAAAAACGAAATACATTCCGCTTTTAGACTTTCGGTCGCAAATTGCACTAGCACTTATTCAGTCAGGTAAAGGTAGTAGTCACCTACTAGGAAACGAGGAAGACCCAGTGAAGGAAATAAATTACCCACCACCAAGACACCTCGAATTCAAAGGCCTGTAGATGATGTTCGTTATGATCAAATAGGTCATATGCCTGTCCCTATTGACGAAAAGCAAAGATGCAAACATTGTATCACATCTAAAATTAGATTTAAATGTATTAAATGCAATTTACCACTGTGTATAAATAAAAATAAAAATTATTTTATTGATGTTCATACTAAAAAGTAACTAATATACAGTTGTTATTTGATTTAAATTTAAATTATTTATTTTTTATTTGTTTTGTTTTATTTTCTGTTAACAAAAAGTATATATTTTGTTAATTTTTTTTTTTTTTGAGGGTTAATTTATTTTATATTATGTAACAAGATAAGTGTTTTTCATTTTGTTTTATTTTATTTTATGTTTGAAAGTAGTACTACAACAGTTAAGTTAAATAAAGAGATTTATGATTATACCTATTATTTAGTGATGTTATACATAAATTCAATTTACATTCACGATGTCCAACGGGTCCAATTGGACCCATAATGAAAAATACCCCGGAAAATGTCGAATTTTCATGAAATTATTTTTTTTCTATTTTTTATTAATTATTTGATAGTTAAGAAATAATATATTTTAATAGTAAAAAAAAAAAAAAAAATTGGGCGGGAAAGGGTTAAGGATTCACTTGATATAAATATTACCAAAAATTTTACTTGTAAATTTTGACCCTGAATTAAAGAAAAAATTTGAGTCGCCCCCCCCCCCCCCTAGAAGTAAGTCTAATACGCCCCTGCCCTTACCCCCCCACATACACACCTAGTTTGAGTAGTAGTAAAATTAAGTTTTTTAGTAAGTTAATAAAATTAGTATGTATTTTGTATCATAATTTTAAACATTATTACTTAGTCGTAAAATATTGTAATAAGGTTACACATATTATATTATTAACTTATAAAATTGCCGAATTGCGTAAAATAAAAAATAAAAATAATATTAATTTTTAACTTTAATTAATATTAAAACTTAACTTTTCTAGCTTTTAATTCAGAGAACTGTTTGATTGCTTCTTCATAGTTTACTTTTTGGGCTATATCATTTTCAATTGACAAAATTGCTAATGAAAAAAGTCTATCATCTGTCATCGAGGAGCGCAAATAAGTTTTTATTAATTTAAGTTTAGAAAAACTTCGTTCACCGGATGCTACAGTAACTGGAATCATCAGCAATATTCTTAGAGATATCCATGTGTAAGGGAATACATCAACTAATTTCATATCGTGTATAAACTGGAGCGCTGATTTGGGTGATCCTTTGTTAACTGGTAAAAGTGAACTCATATATATCTATAGTATATCTATAGAAAAATCAGTAATCACCATCGCATAATATTATTATATTTTTTTTTTGTGAATAAGTTTTTAGATAAAGCAATTATACGAAATTCATCTCCAATAAATTAACGCAAATAAAAAATAATTCGAATATAACCACTTATCAAGAAATCATCAGCTGGTACATCTTAAAATAAATTTAAAAATTATATTTATAAAAATACACCAAAATTAACAAATGATAAACTTAATAAAAAAAATCAAAGTAACAGTTAAAAAATATAATAATAGATAGATATTTATCACTAACGAATGACCAAAGTTTAACAATATTATAAAATAAAACAAATTTTGTTTAAAAATAACTTATTCCATAAGTACTTATCCATGAGATGAAAAAAAACTTTTATATACCATCGTAAACATTTTCTAAGTGTAGGATAGTAGCTGATCATTTGATCAGCCCTGTCAATACCAGACATATTATTATTGTTTGTGTCCGCCCGCGCCGCCGCCACCGAAATCGAAGAGTTAGTCACAAAACACGGCTTCGGCGTTTCGACTCTTGGCGGCGGCGAGATAAACAAAACAGCGTTATCGGCACGCACAACGGCCGCACACGCCAACCAGTTACTAATGAGCAATTATAATTACCCAATTCCCCCAATCAATTATAATATTAAAATTAAATGATTTGCATATTATTTAATTTTAGTATCGTAATCAATGCAAAAGTTCGTCACAGAATACGGTTCCGGCGGTGGGCTAATCTCGGTCGGCGGGCTATATAAGAGCCACTTTGTGACCAAGTTAGTCACTTCTTCTTCCGTCACGGTAGTAGTAAGACCCACCCGCGACAGACTTGCGTCTCAAAATTTCATATCACTGGTGGGCATTCGACACCACCGCGACCGCGGTGCACCTTGTCACCATTTCGTCGACGTCAGACAAAGCTGTCGGCATCATTGTCGCAGCTATTCAATTGTATAATACACTGACTAACAAATGTAATTCATTGTCTTTTTTTTCGCTAAGTATTTATAGTATTTCAATCATTTTGCAAAGAAACAATTATCGTAATCAACAATAACATTAGGTTTCATTTTTTTCAATCCAAATGTTTCTGTGACTTCTATAAAATCCATTTTCTGTTTGGTACAAATCATGCACACATCTCTTTTATCATTATACTTAATTACGTGTATATTGCCTTTCTGGACATGAGCTACTTCACCTTTGCCCAATTTAGCATTCTACCCAAGTAGTAATAAAATGTTTTTAAAACATATATAAAATATCAGAACATTTTAAATAAAACGTTTTGTAGAATAATATTTTTTATATAATTAGAAAATATTTTAAATTGGTTATTTTTTATTAAATATTTTTATAAAGATTTTCCACATTTTTCAAAAATATTTTTAACTGATTATTTTTGAATTAATATTTTTTAAATATAAACAACTACTTTTAATTAATAACAATATAAATAAATATATATATATATATATATATATAAATTAATAATTTGAAAAAAATTATGCTATATAAATATATTTAGAACAATGCATATCCTATTATATATATATATATATATATATATATATATATATATATATATACTATATACTATATATATAGTATATAATATAATAAGACACGCTGTGCGTATACGTGGTTGGTATTTCAGGGGATATTCATTATTGGTGTATATATATTAGGGTGTCCCTTATATATAGAAAAATTTTTTGTTTTAGAAAATAGTCCCGCATACCCCCTAATTTTTTTCCTTTTAGTCTTAAACTGTTGTAAATGAAATATTTTCTCTCTAGGATAAAGTTAACCCGTGCCGAATTCTATTCAAAATTGGTTTATACGAACTCTAGTATTTCCGTTAAAACAGATACATTTCTTGGGCACCTCAACATTTTTCTAGGCTTAATTTTTTGTGCTACTGACTTACCAGATTTTTTACCACATTTTTGTGAATAATTTACAAAGATCTGGATAAAACGTGATAACATTTAAATTAATTGACTACTATTTCAGAATATTGTTATTTAATATATAAAAATCAATATTTTATTTTATTAAATGAACATTGAACATGGATTATTACAATTGGTATTTTCTCTTCAAAGTTTCTTTTTTGCAATCTGGATATATTTTTTGGTGTTCACTAACACATCGTAACACAAACTGCTTTTGTTCTTCATCTGCTGTAAGTAGATCGCGAAAATCCTGCATTAATTACACAGCTCTCTCCGCTGTATCGTTAACTCCTTTTAGGCATGAAACGACTTATTTTGCTTGAATGAAATCCTTATTTATCTCCCATGAAGATATGGATGCCTGAAGAAATTGATCATTGAGTTCTAGGTGACTGAACAAATTCTTACTCTTCAAAGATACAAAGTCATCTAGGATCTTCTCTAAAAAAAGAAAAAATAACGAAAATAATTAAAATAAATTTATAATATAATACTTATTGATAGTGTTAAAGTGATGATGGAAAAGTAATGTTAAAAGCAATATTACTTATACAATAAAAAAAAAATATTTTAAATGAAACGTTTTTCCAATAATTTTTATTAGAACTTACCATAAAATGGACCTGTCAGTTCTTGAACGGATGGGATAAACCTGTTTCCAGAGGTGACT